AAATATTTTTCTGCCGATTTTTACAAAACTAGACTGAAAAACCACACTATTTATTACTTGGAAAATTCATTAATTGAGATACAGATATATAATTCTTGAAGTTGGGCATGATTGCACTTTCTAAAATCTTTTTTCATGATTTAGAATCTTTGACATTCTTCCCAGAACCATTAATTGTTTTGAAAAATTGATTTTTCCAAGAAGATAAAGAAATGAATTTATTTAAAATCGAGTTCTTGGGCCAAGCACCAGGAAACCACATTGCGTTCCTTTTAGAGGTTTCACCAGGAAGGTTCAACTTGTATCATGTTAAAGGCTCTCCACCTAGAGGATTCAGATTCGACGTAAAATATGATTATGATTACGAGAATTCTTTTACCTTCATTCGAGATTCATTGTGTTTCATTAAAACAATCACCTATAGTGAGGAAGTATTTGAGTCGAATCTTCGAAGCGTCCCGGTTCCCCGTCCGGCATCAATGCGTGATGTTATGCGAGGAAGGTATGGCAATTGCCGCACCTGGTATCAGGCTGCATTAAATGTGATTTAGATCATATTTTGGTAAACCGATTTCTTCAATTGAATTAATTCTTTGGTCAGATCTATCACTGCAGCATTTCGAATCACAGGTGCTAACTTGGAAAAATGTGTTATTTATAAGTAACAAGATTAATAAATTCCCAGCTAATCTTTTTCCCTCTGTTTTACACGTAGCAAGTGACTTGACGAAGATATCTTCATGTTCGAGAATCCTTATTCATTGGCAATGGAAATAGATTAGTGAGATAACCTCCATTAACCAAACATTAAATTTAGAATAAGGATGTAGATAAATACGGTGGTTTTATTCACTGGAGTACTCAAAACCAACATGGGAGCCTCCATTTCTCGTGACGCAACTACAAACAATTTCATCAAATCCCAATATTCAGGTAAAAAGCCCATAGACTCCCAATCGATTAAAACGACACTCATGTCATCTTTGACAATAATATTGGTGACATTCAAATCTCCATGACGAAGGCAAATGATACTATCAGTGGGTAGAACAAGCTCTCCAAATTTAACTAACCTTGAATCGTCTGACATATATGAAGAGATATGCTTGTTGAACGCCCTTTCAGATTCAAACTTCAAGTGGCCAAACAATGGATCACGAAAACTATTACCATCAATTCCACATATTTCGTTTGATGTTTCTTTTCTTAGTTTATTCAACTCGTTTAGAATATTATCTGTAACAGTCTGTTTCTGCTCTTCACTCAATTCTGGCCANATATCACATAACGTCTTTCCAGCAATATATTCCATTTCAATGTAGAACTTGGAGTCCTTTGTGTAATAGTCATAGATCTTGGGACAAGATACTTT